TAGTGCATTATTGTAATTACATCATGAATCTTAAAGGGAATCTAATGGAACTTTAACTAGCCTTAAACTGAAAGATCTTTGTATAGTGTTGATTATGTAAATGAACAACCCTGTTTTGTATACACCACTCAGCAGATGCATTGCCAGATGCATGGTTTTAGATTTAACACCTTATTTCTTAGGCCTAGTTTACAACTCAGTAGCAAGCGATTGTTAATACTAATATGTTTCAAACATCCTTTCAACTTGAACTTCAGTCTGAATAATAGAAAAAAAATTGAACTTCTGAAGTGGAGCATATTTGGGGAGGGGGAATGAAGTGCTGAATATCTGAAGAGAATAGGGTTCTGTACCTCTCTGTGGTTTTAAAGGTTTCTCAATTTTTTTATCTTAGTGAAGACATGCTCATGATTTTCTGTGTTCTGCTGCCAGATCTTGTTTTTTTGTGGGGTTTTTTGTTTGGTGTGTTTTTTTATTATTTTAGCAAATTCTATATTAGAAAATATGCATTGTCCAGACAAGTTCAAATACAAATGTTATCTATTGGTTCTGCAACCCAGGTATTATTGAATTTAAATTTTTGAGGATGTTACAGGAAAAACATAATGGAGTTAGATTAAATTATAGAGGGAATTCATAGGCATTTCCAAGGAAAATTTACTTAAGTAATGCCTTTTAAGATTGAACTCACAACTCTGTTGCAGAAGCAGTTTTCTAAGTCAGAAAGAGAAACTTTGGTTAGGATATGTGAAGTAAACCTTAATATTTTCTGCCTCCGGGGAGAAGTGGAGTGATAATAGTAGCAGCAGTAGGCCTAATGATGCAGTAGTATCTTCTACGTTTAGGTGCCATTACAATAGGTGTAGAGCAAAAGTTTCTTGAATGTCTTTTGGTAGCGTACCGCTGTGCGGCTGCTTCTCTCTTTATCTCCAAACTAGAGACTACATGTATGCTAACATCTTAAACAGAAATCTTTTTCCACAATAGTTGTACCCCTCTTTGGCCCTGGCAGCACTGGTAATGTTAACTGTCCAATAGCTGAGTTATTCTATTAATATTCTGGGATTAAGAATGGGAATGTTTATTGTTACTTTAGAATCTCTTTGACTAAATCTATAAAACTTCTGTCCCTAGTGTGTATAATCTGGGTATAAAATGGAGAAACTCAACCCTGCATCGTCTGGATCAAATTGAGAACAAACCTCCCCAAGAGCTGGATAGGTTGATTTCTGTTGGGTTATATGAACTCTTGTTTCATCTACAGCTGTTTGACAGTAGAGCCTTCAGCAGATACAGAGAAAAGGCATTAAGTGTTTGTGCTGCAAAATTAAATTTTCAGATGTATATTGTGAACATAATAGCTGTATGTCTGAGAGAAAAATACTTGCTTCTTTTGTAGGAGCAAGCGGCAGGGTGTTTTTAAGCTAGATTCATTAAATGTTTTTCAGCATAAGTAGCAGCATGTCCTTGCAGCTATATTTAGTAAAACTAATCCAATTTTTTTGGGGTGGGGGGGGAAGTGCTACAGTCCTGAAGTCTATGGCTGCTTCTACCAGCCTTCTCCCCATGCCTACTACTTTCATTGATTTTGCAAGTACAGTAAAAATCTGTTTTGAGGAAATTATTGGTCTGGCATGGGGTTTGGAGAACACATAATTAGTAGTTCTACTCTCATTATTTCTAGGTACTTATGTAACTTTTAAACTAAGACTCTGTCCTGCTTTTTGCTTAATTTTAATTAGCTATTTCTATTCTGGGAGATAATGGCACACTGTACTAGGTTTACGTGGCAAGGTTTTGGTAGCAGGGTTGGCTGCAGGGGTGAGAAGCTGCCAGAAGCTTCCCCTGTGTCTGACAGAGCCAGTGCCAGCCGGCTCCAAGACAGATCTGCCACTGGCCAAGTCCGAGCCCATCGGCAACGGTGGCAGCGCCTCTGGGGGAACGGAGTTAAGAGGGGAAAAAACTGCTGCGCAATTGCAGCCGGAGCGGGAGAAGCGAGAATATGTGAAAACAACTCTGCAGACACCAAGGTCAGAGCAGAAGGAGGGGGAGGAGATGCTCCAGGCACCGGAGCAGAGATTCCCCTGCAGCCCCTGGTGAAGACCACGGTGAGGCCGGCTCTGCCCCTGCAGCTGTGGAGCTCCATGCTGGAGCAGATCTCTACCTGCAGCACGTGGAGGACCCCACGCTGGAGCAGGGGGATGCCCAAAGGAGGCTATGATTCTGTGGGAAGCCTGTGCTGGAGCTGCATCACTACATTGTGCCATAAAACTCTGAATTCTAGCATGCTCAATCTTGACTCATAAGCTTGTGTGTCTGTTCTTGCATTGGCTTTAAAGCTGCTATAGTATTAAACCAGTGCTGTCAATCACAGCTGCTTCAGTTTGTGGTGTTCTACTTAATCTTTTATGTAACCTACCGGGGATTACTGACTTCTCACTTCCTGCAACACATGATTTAAGAAATGCTCTTAAAACTGAAAAACAAATTAAAAAAAACACCTCGGTATATTTTTCTCTTCTTGGCTTGATAAGACTCTTTTTGAAGAAAGCAAACAAATATTCAGAATATATGGTCACTCTTTATAAACATAGAATGGACAACAACTGCCTCAAATTGTCACAGGTGGAAACTGTGCTTTTCTACCACTCTTGTCCCACTAGCTCCGTTTCCCAAACACACGTGACAAGGTCATTCACCAGTGACCTCTGAAGAAGCTTACGTTTCACAGGATGTTTGGGAAAGCCCTCTCACAGATGGACAGGTAATTTAGGACATTGCAAATGTAGTAAGTTTAATAAGTCAGTTTTTGCAGTGGACAGAGATTATAAGGATCTGTTTTTGCTTCCATTCTATTCTAACTATACATCTTCTAATAGTATTAACAGCAAACTTTCTCCTTTCTAATTTATTTGTCATTGTAAAGTAGGCTTAACTTAAAATAATTGCTGATGAGCTCTTATTTTCCTGAGTAACCAAGTGATGAACTGACACGAGTGTGGAAATGTCTCTCTCACCTAGAATAGTTATCTCCGAGCTGATTGGTTTTTTGGGGACTAAAATATTGCTATTATAATAGCTAATTCTGTCAAAATGTTAAGATATAAGCTTGGGGCTAGTTTAAAAAAAATACACAATATCCAAAACAGAGAAACATTTTTAATATTGAGGTAATCCCATCCTACAGATCTTAACTGCAGGAAAACCAGAAAACTAAGAGGAAAAAAAGACCGTCCTCATGGGAAGTATGGAAGAGCTTCCGTATGAGAACTGGCTAAATGGATGAGGGCGCGTGGTCGTGGGAAAGACGCAGTGGGAGGAGATGGGTATGGTAAAGGTCAATACAGACTTGAGCTCCTGGAGAAGACAACTGGGAAGGAGTCTGTTCCCCATCTGCACAAGAAGCAGGGGAGGTGAGGTGAAGCTAGCCGGTGACAAACTCTGACAAGAGGGCATATCCTGCAGAATCTGCAGATGCAGTTTGACTGCAAAAAGTGCCTCGGGCAACTCCATGGAAGAAAACTTCAGTGAGGACAGTAAGATATATATGTACTTACTGTCTGTGCTCCAGGGGTTCTCCAAGACACAAATTCCTGGAGCCTGATGGAGTATTTTGCAGAGTTTGCAGTCACTTTTTACAGTCTGTGGAGTGATCTGAGGACCTGGGCACCTCCATGTTTTAAGGCTTTATACATGAAGCAGTCAGAATTGCAGGCAGAAATTAGCAGGGCAGCAGGAGAGCTGCCTATGGATGTGTAGTAAGCTAGTAGTATACATCAGGTTGATGATGGGGTTCTTATGTGTAGAGCTGTCTGCTGGGAGTTTACTGCAGTGCTCTGTAAGGATGTAGACCTGTTGAAGGTATTCATGCCATTTGAGTTGCTTTTGGAGAAGCTAGCTGAAAAACACTTGAGCTATTAAGTTCTTTAGGATGGGAGTTGCATCTTGTTTGTATAGTCCTACTACAAAGGGACTTTAATTGTACTTGTGGCTGGAAGGACCAGTTAGATTGCATATAGACAATTCACATAAATAAATAATTCAGGTAACTTCTTATAAAGTGCTTCCATCTATAATCTAGTTTTGTAATAGAGGAGAAGAGTGGAAACTGGGGCTTTGTTGCTTAATGTTTAGACAGAAATATGTAGCTGGCATAAAACTGCATCCAGCCCTGTGTTTAAACACCAGGTAGTGTGGTGCTTGGAAAATAACAGGAAAAGATGTATATATTAAATACAAATACTAGGAATAATAGATGAGTAAAATATCATTACCAGGAAAAGATGTGTAACTTAAGGTTATAGTAAAATTTCTTGGATTTATAGCAGTATTTTGAAGTTGCATATTTAAATAGGACATATTTAGAGTAACTTTAGAATTCTTGAATTGCAAGGAAATATGTTGTCAGCTCACAGGATGTGAAATGGTTCAATTTTTTTCAGCTTGCTTCGTATCCTTGAAGTGTGCAGTAGTTCTCAGACAACTGTGTTTTCTGCTATTTTTGCATAATTTTCTCCCTTCCATTCTTAAGCCCCAGATAATTTCAGGGGTCTCTATTGGTGTCATGACGTCTATTACTAAATGCTTACAGTTAGACTGGATTCCCCCCACACACACACTTTTACCCTTTCTTCTGATACCATTTTTTTGTTTAGGTAGTTATGTGTCCAGAACTAAGCACTCTAACATAATTTGAGGGATGTATAAATATAATTCTAGTTTTCCAAGTTAGTATTTCATAACCTGATTTACAATAGAAGGACTAGCATGAAAAAGCAAAGCATGGTAATACTAACTTTTTAAGCTACTAATCATAATCAACAGTCAGGAAGTGTTGAGATAATTGGGTTGGCTTAAAAGTGAAATAGTTCAAAAAGGATTTCAGCTGCCTCAAGTAGAAAGACATCTTACTAAACGCTTGTGTCTTAAAGAGGAAAAGGAAAATGGTAATTAATTTCCTGTGCCTGTCTACTGAGTGAGAAACACAATGTTTTTCCCTCTTGTAGTTGCAGACGTTCCATACTGCTGCACCTTGCAGAGGTGTTCAGGACTTGACTAACGGGGTTGCCATGGCGCAGGTACTTCACCAAATGTAAGTTGATATGTAAGTTCCAAGAAGAGGTATTAATTTCTTGTGGTTTTTGTGTTTGACATGCATACTTGCTTTCTCCTACCCAAAGGTTTTTTGTGTAGTTAAAGTAGACAGAAACATAAAGTAGACAGTTTATAGCAGAAGATAAAATATACCTTTATATTGTTGTTTTGGGAATGATATAATAGTTGAAGAATAATGTGATAGAATGGAGAAGGTGATGAGGAAATATTCTAATACTATAGTATTAAATTCATACTTAAGGGTAATTAGGCAAGAATGATATAATTTTCACTTTTCCCATCAACACTATATCCATGGATATCCATGCTTCAGGCAATATCTTGCTCTTTGGAATGAAGAACTAAAAGTTCAAAAGGCATGTCTTTGTGATCCGAGTTCTAGGATTTAAATGATGTCTTACTATTTGTGTTGAAGAAAGAATTGTGAAACTTCAATGGCAATTTTATTATTAAAAAATAGCAGTGGACTAATCAAAAGCAAAATAATTCCCATTTTATTGGTGTGATGACAAAAGGTACTGGGTTGAGTGACACACTAGTTTTAAAATTTGTAGTTACTTCAGAGGGTTGTAACATGAGTCTTGTATTGAAAGAATATCATACTACAGGTCATTACTACAATTTCATTGTTGTTGGCTCAGATAATAAAGGAGGAGTCTGAACTACCATCTCCTGCTCAAACTATATTTTTGATTACTAAGAAATTACTTAAACCAAACACCACCCCCCTCCGCAAAAGAAAGACCCACCCCCCGAAAAAACCCAAACAACCCAAACCTAGAAACCCCCTCTGTCTGGTTGAAAAGATTTTAAATGTGCTGTGTGAAGACAGAGCTCACCCTTTTCCCGGGGCATGGCAAAAATTGATTTAAGATTTCTTAGTGAAGATTCACAGTGGGTCACTTCCCATGTGTTTGTCATACTAGGCTGCCACAGTCTTTGGGCAAATTTCTTTACAACCCAGTTGGCTGATATGCAAGTGGAGTTGATAATTGTCTTTTATCAGGTGCTTTGAGACCAATGAATAAACAGTGCAGTGTAAAAGTTAAGATATTGTTAGATATGCTGTGATTGCACTGCTTGGCAGCGCCGCATATGTAAACACCTCCCTCAGCAGCTCATCCTTATTTATGCTGGCAAAGGGAATATACTTCTGCCCAAGGGAACCAAAGACATAAAAAAAATACGAAATGCCAGTAGTTTAAAATGTAGTTTTTTTTCTTGGTAAGTACCTTTGACAAACTCTAGTGAATGTTAGAGAATCCAAATGTACAAAAGTAGGTACTGAACCTCAGTGTCAGCACTAGTCAAAAGAGGATGTTTCTTTAGAGCATTATGATGACTTTGTCGGGTATAAGAATTCAGCATGACAAAGGCCTTCACACCCCTGTGTTCCTAGCTGTAGCTAGCTCAAGCATGTACAAAATTCTTCCTGCTCTGGAAGGTGGTGTCTTAATTCAGCCATTAGGATGGAAATTTTCTGTGACATAGGTATTAACTTGCAATCTCCAGGAATTCATGCTTCATTAGGCACTGTAGGCAACATCTGATGATTTGATGCTGGGAATCTGGTATCTTATTTATTTAAGTGTGTGCTTATTTATGTTTAATCATTTAATTTTGTTTTCAGAGATGTTGCCTGGTTTGATGCATCTTGGCTAAATCGCATTAAAGATGATGTTGGTGACAACTGGAGAATAAAGGTATTCAAAACTGAAGTTGGTGAAAGTCTGTGGGGTTGGATATCCTGTCTGTCTCGAGAGTATCTGGCAGTCCAAAAACTATAGAAATAAGCTGAGGCTTTTTTAGGTTACTTTAAATTAACTTGAACTGTTTGTTGATATAACATTTTATTATAAATTATTATTTAATTTCAGCAAAATTAAGAATTTTAATAAAAGCCTGTAATCTTATTTTTCATGTACAACAATTAGTCCAGTAATCTGAAGAAGATACTGCAAGGAATTATGGACTACTATCATGAGGTATGGAAAAAGCAATTTTTTTGTTTTTCTGATAATTAAACATGATGATTGTTGTCCTCCTTCACCTAGCTTTTTTTTTTTTTTCTTGGCAAAGTAATTTATTTTAAGGACTTATTTGGCCGAAAGCATATGGTAATTATCTGGCTAAGTGGGAGGTCTTGAGTGAATTCAGGTGGCGCTGGATTAATGGTTGGACTTGATGATCTTGAAGGTCCTTTCCAAACTTGGTGATTCTGTGATTCTGTGAATATAATACTAATTTGAGCAGGTGTATCTAAGATAAGACTCTCGGAGTATAATCTGGAAACCATGTCTCTGTCATGGCCCGGATGAATGTCATAAGGACTGAGCTGCAGAATCCTGTTGACTTGTGTGTGTGCATTCATATTTGCTCTTGTAGAGTGTAGTTTTAATCCTTTTCTACACAACAGAACAGATTTGGCAACCCTAGTCTAGGTTTTATGATACTTGGAAGCTGGGAGTTACAAATCCTCCTGGACATAGTAAGGGTTATAGTTTGTTCTTTCCTATGCAGGATGAGTGTGGTAGCCATAAGAGGGTGCTGTATTTTGAGTTTTTAAAAAAAAGATTAATTTTGTATGGAACTTGATTGCAGTTACATAATGGGTATGCTATAGAAAAATTTGCCAGACCATCTTATAGCTTCCTGGTCTTGCCTGGGCTTAGTTGTGATACCGAGTGCCAAGCCCTTTCATATTGCCAGGACTGAAGTGCTCTGGCAAGCCCAGAAGTAGCACCTCTTTAGGCTTATCTCTCTTATTCTACCAACATAATTGGGGGGGGGAGGGGGAATAATTCTCTCATATTTGAGGTTTAGCCCAAGAATTTTTAACTTACTACTCTTGCTTTTTCTTGTATACATGGTCAGTTAACTAAACACCCAGTTAATAGACTTTCAGAACTTGTGGTTGGGAGAGAACAATTTTATAGAACTCTTACTAAAGTGTGTGACATCATTGCGCTAAATAATTGCTAGGTGTTTTGAGTTTATTTTTTAATGCTGTATACTTTAGATTAAATTTAGGCTTATTCAGAGAAAAATATGAGGTGCCGAGTAGGTGAAGGTCATTGGCTAACAGTGGACTGAGTACCCCTTCCTGCAAACACACATCCACACTGGGGGACAGAGACAGAGATTTGGAACGGTCTTTGCTGGCCCAAGAGAGGCACAGCGTGTGACAGCTGAGTTTCATGTAGGAAGCCCTGTAAAAAATGAGTTAAGAGCATCTGCTCTGTCCAGGCCTGTTCAGATTTCCTAATCTGGTACTTCTATCTATGTATTCCCTCATAAGCTAATATTTTTAATGTGTATCTCCACATTTAAAACCTTGCTCTTCCATAAGTTTTATAGTAAAAAACTTACTAATAGACTCTGTGCTTTCTTGGGATCACTTACTGAGTCCAGATTGCTTACATGATACCAGATTTTTGTGTTGCACAGAAGTGGGAGCCCACTTTCTCTCTTGAATTTTTTTTAGTTCTTGGGTCAGCAGATTTCAGAAGAGCTTATTCCGGACTTAAACCAGATATCTGAGAACTCAGACCCCACTGAACTGGGCAGGCTTCTGCAGCTTATTCTAGGTTGTGCAGTCAACTGTGAAAGGAAACAAGGTACGCACTACCCTAATCAGGTCAGCAAACAGCAGACTGCCTCAGGTGATTGTTATGGTGGAAGAGATGTAGAAACATTTCTTTCTTATGTATCAAAAAGTCTCTATTATTAATATGTTGCATGCCTATTCTGAAACTGGAGTTCTATTAAAAGCAGAAAGCCTATTGAAAACTTCTATGCATAATATAAATTTGTTCACCTGAGAGACTAGAATTGCTTGTGCTGATGTACCGTATTACTGGATAATAATATTGTCAGTTAACGCTCTGTATAAAAATATATATTGCTCTGTATAAAAAGAGTGCTACCTGCTTTGAAGAAGCTTTATAGGGAATAGTTTCCTCTGGGTCTTTCTGCAAATGGTATGTCATGTTACTCAAGACACTAAGATGTACATTGTTGTGAGTCACTACAAATTCTTTTTCACAGAACACATACAGAATATCATGACCCTTGAAGAGTCTGTTCAGCATGTTGTCATGACTGCCATTCAAGAGGTAATGAATAATTCATAGCCTAATGCTGTCAGTTGAGAAGTCCAAATATCCATTTGTTGATCTCTGTGAATTCTTTCATCCAAGCAAAGGTCAGGGAAGAGTGTACTTCCCTAAATTATCTGGGAGGATCAGGACCGAGAGACCCCAGATGCCAACCAAGGGGTTTTGGTTTTAGTCTCGTATGCCCAAATATACAACTTGTGGAGACAATAAGTGTTTAAGATTTCCTGTTTCACACAAGAAATTTATCTAGTAGCCAACTGCTGATCATACTGGAGTCAGGTTCTGAGATTTCTTTCCCAGTGCTGTAGTCTTGGACACAAAGTTAAGCTGTTCATAACTGTCTGTGAGGCTACATTGTTCTGACAGACCATTCCAGCGTCTGATTTACAAAGTCCCAGCTGCATCTCTTCTATTTTTGTCATGGTGTGCTCCCCCAGCTATCTTAATTTGTTCTTAATTGGATCTTTTTAGTGATCCAGCTTGCAGCATAGCTCTACGGTCACTCACATCTGCGAGTTTCAGGACTGTGAAGCAGAGTGTGGAGGGAGGCAAAAATTAAATGCTGACTTTGTTGAAGAAAATGTATTGTGTAGTTGCACCCCCATCAAGGTAACAGTGGAGATGATAGCAGGCTTTAAAACGTAGATTTAGATTGACTATATAGGCTTTAAAGTTATAAATGCCCTATTGGGAGAAATAAATCCATAAGCCTCTGGTTTGTTGTATTTTGACTAATCAAACCTTCTTTCTGAAGAAGATCTAGAAATAATATTGTAATTCCTGAGTAAGAAGTAAAGCCCTTCAATTGTTGACAAATATACTGTGTACATCTTTGTACTGGAGATCAATGAGAGCTGTGTTAATGTTCCCATTCTTTGTTTAATGGCAGTTAACATGGCACAAAGAAGTGTGATTAACTATTAAATGAATCAAGTGAAATCCCATCCTTTGATTCACTCCATTTTAACTTGACTAGGGGGTAGCAATAACTTCAATAGATCACATATTCATCCAATAAGATGTTACTGCTAAGTTGGTTAATTTGGGGAGGAGGGAGGTAAAAAAAAGTAATCTTATTCTAGGTTTGTTTAAATCCTTTACCAACTATGAGGTGTTTTTTTATTATTATTAATCTGTTTTGATATATTGAAGGGATGCAAGGACATGGTGGAAAATACAATTGATACTCAGTACACAGTGAATTTACAGAAATTTAACCTCTAATTTAATCTTCTTTTCCTGTGGCCTCTTTCTGTAGCTCATGAGCAAGGAAATAACGGGTCCTTCCACAAGTGATGCATCAAGTGAAATGGAACAGCAGGTAACTGCTTAATATTTGTTGCTCTTGTAATTCAAGCCTGAACAATAACTTGGTATCTTGCCATCACTTAAACGAAGAGGAGGGCTGCTCTTCCTCTGCAATTCTAAAGGTGAAGAAACCCCATCAAAAAACCCAGTAAATTGTGCTCTTTTTTGTCTTCAATCTGCACAAACTGCTTTGGTCTGTTCTCCACTCAGAGCTGATCTGATTAAACCCACGAAGAGCAGAGCAACATACTGATGTAGGCAGAGAATATGCAATAAAGTAATTCTGTTTTTCAGTCCTAATTAAGTAAAAAGTTATGTACTATTTTATAGCTTCTTTTAAAACAATGCAGTTACTGCTATGTAATCTTCCTGGATGGGGTAAAACTGGCCAGTACAAACCTACATTGCAAGAAAAGCTAGGGGTATATCAAGGCTAGCTGTGCCAGGCTAGACACTTCAGGTTATTTTTAAGGGTCATGAAAATTCTTGATAACCTGAACACTACAAGGTGTCGCACATAAAATGAAGTTGTCTGGAAAAAGTACCTGCCCAGAAAGGAGCATCAGTATTTCTATTTGGAGATGAAGGGCATTTGATTTAATAGGCAGGGATTTTGAAATTGTGACAACACGAATGTTCCTGTGTTTCGTTTTGTTACGCTTTTAGCCTAAGTTGCTGGGTTGAATATGTTGAGTTTCAATTTACTTATTACATGTGGTAGTCATTTAAAATGCAGGTGAAATGAACAGAGATCCTGATTGAACAGTGTGTTTATAGGTTTCTGTGTCAATGTTTGCACCTAACATCCTTCGTAAACAATTGGTATAAGCAATTGAGACATTTTAGACGCTTGAACTGTGAGTACTTCAGATATGGGGCAGAATGATTGACTATCCTATTTTTTTAAAAGCTTAAAAAAGCTTTGGAAGATCTTCAGGAAGCACTAGCAGAAAAAGAAGAGTTGGCACAAAGATGTCAAGAGCTAGATTTACAGGTAAGAATCAGCAAGTAGCTTATTTCTTTAATATATAGTGGTGCTGCTATTAAGATGCAGAAATTCTGAAGGGCAAAGCGAATTTTGCATTTATTTAAGTTTCTATGAGAATTCTTAGCTGTTTTTGTGGGAAAAGCAATCGTTCTGTACCCCAAAATGCAATTGCTGGAAATAAATTTTCTGATGGAAGTGTATGCTGAGGTCCTTTGCCAACTGTTAACTCAGAGGTTGTTTGGTCTGCTAGCTTTATGTTTACCCTTAATAGCAGGTAGCCATCAAAATGATGTTATCATGGCTTTAAAAATTGCCCATTTCATTTTTAGTCACTGCTTTCTCGAGTCTTTTGAACTGTGTCCAAAAAATCCAGTTCATATAATAATTGGTCATTAGATTTAATCATAGGAAAATTATGCTGTTTTCAATAGGAGTTGATGAAAGACTAAAATTAGAAATTTATCTAAAATTTGCTAACTCTTTTGTGTACGCAGTTGCAACATGAAGGATATTTCAGGAAATAAAAATAATAGAAACTAATAGATCGTTGCTGACGTTTTCAAACCACACTGATAATAGGCCTACTTTTGTTTTTAATGGATATAGAAGTTAATCAAGCCACCCAAAAGGAGAGAGGACTTCATAACAATGAACAGGAACTTGCATTACAATCAACTCTTTAAAGAAAAAAGAAAAAAAAATCCATTTGCTAGCACTAAGTCTGATTCCTCTTTTATGGCACTATAATCTGAGAATAGGAAGAGGTTTATCTGGTGATGCAGTTCATCTCAGATTTTATTCTGTACAAAAAGAACATTTGGGCAGCATCTTCTTAGAGGAGCCAGAGTGCCATACTGGCTTTATGAGCCTCTGAAAAAAACCCAAAAACCCACCACAAAACCAGAGGCCAGTTTTACATTTCTTACAGGTAATGATGACTGAAAAAGTAGAATACTTATATATAAAGTAGCTCTTAGCTACTTTATTTTAGCTCATTGCCATGCCCAGGAAGCTGTTGTGAGATTTGAACTGATATTTCATTCCCTTCTTTCTTGAGGCAGTAGTGAGGCTTCTTAGTGAAAGCAGAGATCTAAAAATGCTTGTGAGCAGAACCTGCAAGAGAAAATGATTTATTTTAAAGGGGTAAGAGGATTAACTTGACAGCTGGACTCACAGGTTACAGTTGTTAAACTTCAAAAAGTGTGTTCACTGTTCAAAAGCTCTCACTTCTAGAGGTGCTGGGATAACAGTTTGCACGAATACTTGCACTTTCTGCTTCCATTAGGAGACTTTGTTTGTCTCACTAGAGAAGTCACAGGCTTTTCTCCTGTCTCCCACAAACTTCTCTTTTGAGATTTCTCTATTAATTGATGGTAAGTAACACAAAGCCAGTTGCTCGTAACATAGCATGCGCCAGGTGAAGGCATGAAAGATTTTGAGGGAAAGGTACTGCTGAGTATAAACAGATGACTTAATGACACCATAGCTCTTTAATATTGGGACGTGTTTTTAAAATATCTCTTCATAATTTGTGTTGAGTTTGACACCGCTTCTGTTATGTTGACATAATAGAAAAGAAGAGAAAACTATCAGAAGGGAACCGAGAAAAGATGAAAAACTTCCTCTGATTTTTGTGAAAGTTTTTGTTTTTGTTTTTTTTTTTTTAAAGTCAGAGACAGGTGTTCTTTTAACATTATTCTAAGACTGTAAATGTTGTGCATGTTTAAGGAGTGGCTGAACCTTGAACAGGAAGTGTTATGCTGAGGAAGAGACAGACAGATATGCTTTCTACTCACAGGGGTTTGTGTGTGCATGTATGTAGTAAAGGGATATCTGGTATGTAAAAACGAGTGAACTTAGAAAGCCAGCACCTAATGAAGTGGTAGATAAATTACTGTTTTGTTTCTTACATCTGTTTGACTGACAGCCTTTTAAATTACGATCATGAACAAACTGTTTCATAATATTGCATACTTTAGGTTATATCTGATGTTTTATCTAATAATGTCACCATGATTTATTTTATTTTATTTATTTGAAGCCATAATATTGACTGACGCTTCCCATTTAAACTAATTCTTAATAAATTCACTTGTAAGGTCTCAGTCTTCCTTGATATTTTCCAAGAGTATAAGAAAGGTAGGTTTTCTTTATGATTCAGGAAAACATAACCCAAAAAGCATATTGTCCCTGTTTAAATGCCAGTTAACTAACACATGCTACATGCTCTTATGTTTGACAGGATGTTAAAATTAACACAACAGCTTTCACTAGAAAAACTTTAAAGGTTCTATCCTCTTAATCCTTCCCCATTTTATGGCTGTTAATATACTTACTGTTTCAATAGAGTGTTGTATTCTCATTTGCTTAGCTGTGAACACTTTCAATATCAAACTTGTTTGATTGTTGCAAAAAATGCATGCTCTATATGAAGCTGTCTAGGTTTTTTCTTTTGCGTGTCTGCTTCCTAGCTTATGGCACCTGAAACCGCTTCTTGCGCAACCATTCACTGCTGAGCGCACGGCAGTACTGTGTTAGTGTGCTAGCCAGTGCCAGCCTGCTTTTTATTGTTAAGTATGAGCAAGATGGAGAGTACCTTTACACCAATACTTAAAGGTTTTTTTGTACGGCATATGTGGTATCCTTTTTAATAAACGTACCAGTTTCTCTCCATATCACATTGTCTGCCTTTACCATGGTTCCAGCTACAAAAATTTGTCTTTTTTTTTTAGAGGGACTTTTCCTTTAGTGCTTCGTAACTGTCATACACTAAAGCATCTGTATGCTCAAGTATGCTATGTAAATTACATTTAAAATTTCTAAACACTCAACTCTTTTCATAAACTAATTTGACGTACTGCTGTCTTATTTTAGTTCTTTCCAGTTGGACAGGTCTTACAATGTTGATGCTGGTTTGTCTGCTGTAGGTGGCTGCCCTGCAGGATGAAAAAAACAGCTTGATGTCAGAAAATGAGATTATGAATGACAGGCTAGAGCAATTAGATGACTCTCTTGATGATCCAAATACTGTGGTTGCAAAAAAGTATTTTCATGCACAGTTGCAGCTGGAACAACTGCAAGAAGAAAACTTCAGGTATGAAATGATTTCTCTCAAAAACCCCTCTCTTGTCATGTCAAATATATCCTGAGAATTCCTGATACTCTTTCAGTATTTTCCATCTCAATTTCTTTTGCTATAAAATCTTTCTAGTACTGTATAAACGTATTTTAAAGACAGTCCTTACCTTTAAAAGGGAGAAACTGTTACTTGTTGTAGAAAATATTACTTTATAATTGCCATATTGTAGCCGTTTGACACTTCAGAAAAGGTGATGGAAAGCAGAACGTTGAGTACCCAAGCAATTTGTGTGTAAACAAAACAAACCCTTAAGCCTCCCAAAAACCACCATATCTCTTTACTGTGCTGATTTCTTTTACATATTAGTCTTTCTCCCTGTGATCCCTATGGGGGAAAAAGAAAAGGCTTTTCATGTGATCCCTTGATATGATAAATTTGCATTATTTAATCCATTATGATTTAACAGGTAGACAATAAAATGTTCCATGCTTATAGTACTGTTTTTCTGGCTACTTAAATCAATAGGAGTCCTTTGTCTTACTTATTGTTAGTAGTTTTAGCACTAAATGAAAAATGTGTAATAATGATGAGTTTTTAACAGAGTTCCTGGTTTTGATCTGGTAGGCTTGAAGCTGCAAAAGATGATTATCGTGTCCATTGTGAAGACCTAGAAAAACAATTGATTGAACTGCAACATAGAAACAATGAACTAACCTCTTTGGCAGAAGAATCTAGAGCCTTGAAAGATGAAAATGATATTCTTAGGTATGTAATAGAGACCGCTTCCCATACACATATTAGGAGGATTTAATGACTAAATCCAAGGCTTTGTATTTAACAAGATTTTTTTTGAGGTGTTACTTCTGCAGATAGATCTTATCTGAATGAGATCTAAAACAAATGTTGGAAAAGGGCCCTTTGACAAAGCAGAGATGGAGTACAAGTTTAAAGGCACAGGCTCTATTGTTTGCATAAGAATAGCAACATGGAATTTTTCTGTGAAGCGGGATTAATGAATATAGAAGTTATTCTTCTTCACGTGGGATGGAAGGTGAAGTTCTTCAAGAATTGAGACATAAAAATTGAATTTTTATGGGGGGGTATGTGTGCATTCTTATTAAGGGGACATGAGTGTTGGCAAGAGGCTGCCTTTTCTGATGTAGAAAATCTTATATGCCGCTAGAACTTCGACATAATTTTTGGTGTTGGCATTCTAGGCTAGAATTAGGTTAGCAACATGATTAACAAAATGAAGGTGAAATACACAAGAAGCTTGATGACAATAAAATTCCAGCGTGTGTAAATTAAATTAAATACCAGACCACCCAAGAAATACCCAGAGCAAATCATATTGCAAAAGCAGGTCTGCTATTCATAAAATAGTATGAATAAAACATGGAAAGAAAAGTGGTTTCAGGTGTTTAACTTATAGTGGTTCTTAAATAACATCTGAAACAAATCATAACTATAGATTTTCTTCCATAATTTTCTTGTACTAGCGTGTAGTAATATGAGATGGTAGATATTAAACACAGATATTAAGATTAATTTGTGTATTTATGATCCAAGTATTTTCTTCCCACATAGATTTTTATTAATGATTGGCTGGTAATTCTTGGTCATATCTGCTAATGATCATTTTCTTAGTGCAATTATGTTCTAATTATGTATAATTATGTATAACCCCGCAATGAGAACATCTGCGTATTTTTCCTTATCAGGTACAAGTACTTTGAGATGACTGTTTAGCACAGGATGTTGTGGTGCATTTACATTGCACCCCACAGAGTTCCCTGGAGATATTTGACATACTAACCTTTGCTTGTACTTCTAGCATCCAAATGTCAGACTTGCTCCCACTTAAACCCTGTGGTGATTTCAGTTTTCCAAAGCAATCTTTGCATTATGCATTTAAAAATAAAGTAGTAAGATTTAACTCTGCTGTTAAGCATGTTGCATCTCCCTTTGAAAATGGCCTGAATGTGCATGAAAGCAGAATTTGACTTTTTTAATCTTTTGAAGAAATATACTCTCTTCTAATTCCCGTTTACGCTTTCAGGACTACTGCAGACAAGGCAAGTAAGCTGGAATCAACTGTTGAAGTGTACCGTAAAAAGCTACAGGATCTGAATGACTTCCGCAGACAAGTTAAATCTCTGCAAGAAACCAACATGATGTATATGCACAATACAGTCAGTCTGGAGGATGAACTGAAGAAAGCCAATGCAGCACGTGCCCAGCTAGAAACCTACAAAAGACAGGTGAGGCTGCATCTATACTTAAGACGTTACTTTTTCCTCAGATAGTTGTCTTACCTAAATAAAACTATTGTAATTACGTTTCAGTGAAAAAAATTGAAAAGCTTAATTTAACAGCCCATGGACTTAACCTGCATTGTCCCTTTCAAATTTCTTGTTCATGAAAACTCCTTCATACTCTGCCGTTCACTTTCTGTGTTTCCCTGTTTATTAAACTAGCAAGCTTAACTGTAGTTGCCCTCTCAACTGATTGGTTGTCCAGGGTTTGCAGGCCTTTCTTCTTTACTTTAGCTGAGGTAATTTTTGTGCCTGGGAGAGGTTGTTCAGCTATTGCTGAGATCACTTGTATGTAATATTCTTAACTTTCTTCACGAAAATTTATTTTCACCTGTAGAAGCTTTATTTCAATTTCACTTATTTCAGTAGCAATTAAGAGATGCAGGAGTTAAATATTTAAAAAAACAAACAAAAGACAAAACAAAACCGAAAACCAACCACCACCAACAAAATAACCAAAACCAAAAAAAACCCCAAACCAACCAAACACACATGCCCCCAGTCTATCTCCGCTCCCCCAAGCTTGGAGGACCAGCTGTTTATTTTGGCAGAACTGGGCAGGAGTGAAGGTTTTAACGTAGTTTTTAAAGATGGCATCTGGCAACATTCATGTGCTGAATGTAGTCTTTTTATAATAAGGTCCAGGAGCTTCATAACAAACTATCTGAAGAATCAAAAAGAGCTGATAAGCTAGCATTTGAAATGAAGCGACTTGAAGAAAAACACGAAGCTTTAATCAAAGAAAAAGAGGTAAGTCTCTTGAATGACAGTTTATTTGAACACCTAATAAATCTCTTAAATGCTTTGCTTGAGGAAAACCTTCCCAGAAGCAGTGCTACCATAAGAGTAAAGTTTAGTGCCTCATGTGTATGTGTGTATACACATACAGGATATGTCTTAAAATGTGTGTCAGTAGTATTCCTGATTAATGTTACTTGGTTTTTGTCATTTTGAAGTGATGCTGTATGACTTCATTTCACCTCAAATATATCTTCTTAGAGACTGATAGTACAATGTGATGCATTGAAAGAGACAAATGAAGAGCTCCGGTATTCACAGATGCAGCAGGATCACCTGAGTCAAACAGGTATTGCTTTATCTTCAGAGGCTTTTTTATGTATATTAGTGATTTTTTTAAGTTTGTTAAATTAAAATCCCCATGCGATTTCAGGTGCATCTCGTGTTAAAAGCCATGAGAATCTTGCTGCTGAAATTCTGCCAGTGGAATATAGGTAGGACGAAAAAATTGAGGTTGTTTGGGGATTTTAATGGGTGGGGCATAATATTGCATCTGTGAAAGTTCAATATTGATTTTCAGCAACATTACTGTATCCCACTTCTTGCTTTCCCTTCATGATGCTTGTCTGGACCTCCATGTAGCTGTTAATAATTATTTCCCCATACTATAATTACTTTGCATTCTTTCTTAAAAGCATATCAGATTGCTCTATATAAAGTTCGGCTTGAAAGGTCCTCTTTAAGGAGCAAAACAATTCTTATCTTGCTGCTGGCAGACAGAATAAATAATTAGGACACAGCAACTAAGACAGAACAGCTAAAGGCTAGCTAATACCACTTTTGAAGTCTGGCAGAGTGAAACATAAAGGCATAATAAAATCTGAGTTTGGACTGACTTAATTTAAAATTTTGTTCATATCTGCTAAGAAACTATTGTGGCGTTTGAAAATTGTAATTTACCTTTTAATAAAAAAATGCATTGTTGCTGCAACTGTATCCTTGAGCAGAACTTGTTTCACTCACTTTAAGGTTGGGGGAGTGAACAGGAAGATTATCTCCTACTCTTAGTCACCTTTTCCTTAATTGATAGTGACTTTTTTGTTGTTTTTGATTCAGAGAAATGTTTATTCGGCTGCAGCATGAAAATAAGATGCTTCTTATACAACAGGAAGGATCAGAAAATGAACGTATTGCAGAGCTCCAGGAACAGCTGGAGCAAAAGCATCGGACAGTGAACGAACTAGAAACTGAGAAAAGGTAAAGGTTGAAACAGCATCTTAGAATATAGCAAACAGTGATTTCTGGACCTTCAGAGTGGCCATGTGGCTTGCATCTGTAGAGTAGCACTGTGCAGGAAGCCAATTATCCTTTTTGTTTCACCAGAGTAATTATTAACAAAGAGTTATGAAGTAAGCAATAAGGAAAGTTGCTTAAATGTGATATTGTAAAATGTGGTAGATCTGTGTGTAGCGTGCTCTGAAGGAAGTGCTGCTAATTGGTTGCTGTTCTTAGCCCTGAATTATTCTTGGTAGACTAAGAGTGGATGTAAAGTCTTATTTCTAGAACTTCAAACCAACCATGTTGTAACACTGGGATATGGCCTGAATATCTCTTATCAGTTAATGAATGTTGAAAGCAGTTTACTAGGATATGATAATTTTTGGTAGTTAGTTTTTTTCAAAACTTAAAATTATTCTAGGTCTTTCATTATCTAATGTTTAATAAAGTTGTGTTTGTTTCAGCAGAAGTTCAAGTCAAACTAAAAGCATTTGAAAACAATTTCATTGTGGCTTAAATCCTGCTGGATAAACCCTCTGAAAAATTATCATCCAGACATGAAATAGAAAAATCTAATTGTCTCTTGTGTTCTATTTAAATGAGTAATAACTATCTTTTCTTCCTAAAAGGCTAAATGAAGAGCGTATTGGGGAGTTACAACAGCAGATTGAAGATCTGCAAAAGACTTTACAGGAGCAGGGATCCAAGACAGAAGGAGTAAGTGAAAGTTCAGGATTCCTGACCTTGAAGACATTTTGCCAGTTTTGTTTAAAATCCTTCAGAGTAATATCAAGTCCTCTGTTTAGATGTGCCTCTTCTTTTTCAGTGTGTCTAGGGCTGGTAACTACTAAGGCAGCAGGATCCTGGTTTGGTGCTTGTTTGTTTGTTTGTTTGTTTTTTAAAGTTAGTTTGGAATGCAGCAGTAGGAGTGAGCAAGCTCTGAAGCCCCTCTGGGTCACCCAGCCTCCCTCCTTCCCCAACCCAAACAAACACACACCTTTCAAAAGACCTTACAAGCAAAGACCTTAAGCAATTGAGGCTGTTCAGTGTGTTCTAAAAACCCTCTCCTGCCTGAAAACAACTCTCTGAGTTTATGTAACACAGGCTTGGCTCCACTGTGTTCAGAGCAGATGAGTTTAGTCTCTATAGTATGAGAATCCATGAGACCCCCACACCAACTGCATTTCAACTGAAAAGCTCGTGTTTTATGTGATTCCTTCCCCCCGCCTTCTTTAAGGAACTGTAAGTCTTCTACCTTCTACTTTACTTTTAAAGTTTTATCACCAAATGGTGGTATAGTGAGAAGGGGATAGCTATAAAGAAGAAAGATGCTGGAATTGGTATTGGTATTTGTGTGATGCAAAAAATACGAATGCAGTTACAGAAATGCATGAAAAAAATGCAGTTTTCTTAGGATTTATTTGGTTTGATTTATTTAGGTGTGCTAAGTATTCTTGGCTGATTTGTAAGAACATTTTAACGTTGCATGGTATGAAATACTGAAATATAACTGAATTTTAATTCTTTGCTTTTATAGTCTAGCAACCTGAAGCAGAAATTGGCAGCACATATGTAAGTAAGGCACATGCATCCACAATAGTTTATGATAAATGATTTGACTGTTGTAGCACAAAAACTGTCTAAGTCTTTGTTGGGATGTCTTCTTTTTCTAAGCCACTGATTTGAGAATCATGCGTGTAGTGAGTTAAGTATTGTTCTAGTTTTGTCTACTCTGATCATGATAATCTTGTAATATTAGTATCCACTTAACTGTCTTTTCATCACCACTAGCATTTTAACAGTAATGATTCTACGATAGACTGCTAAAACCATCACTCTTAGTGGACTCAAAACATATTTCCTTCTTCTGAAACACTTCCATCCTTTCAGCAGATGTAGTTCCTGCTAAGGAGATTCCGGAGAGGTTTTTTTGTTAGTTTTCTTTTCTGTTTCTAGTTTTAGGCAAATAAGACTCAATTCGGAAGTCACCACTTCTATAGTTCTTCAAAAATACATACTAGTATTTCTATTTAAACTCAAAAGAATTGCCAGAGTTTTTAAAATAGTTGTTTAAACACTTCCACCAAGTTTCAGCTTTGAGCTCTTAAAATTGTGCATGGAATTACTTGTGAGCTTAATCCTCAGCCCAGCCTTTCACTCGTAGGGAGAAGTTGAATGAAGTTCATGATGAGTTACAGAAGAAAGAGGCTGATCTTGCGGAACTCCAGCCTGATGTTAGTCAGAACCGTAAGTTTTTTTGTGTGGCTTTTGGGTTTTTTTTAATGAGACTATGTTAAGTTTCTTCTTCGATGATACTTGTCTGGATGAGGATTTCTGCTACAGCTTAGCTTTAAACCTGGAATAGGGGTGAATGGAGGGGGGTTTTGCACACGCTGGTGGGCAGGGAGGAGTTCAAGGGGCCTTAGTTTTGTTGAACAATACTCTGCAAAATGGGAATTCAGGGTCAGGTGAGACCTTATGGTACAACTGAAACAAAAATAAGAACCTAGAAAATTGTGTAGTAGGTAGAAAGTTTATTTGGGGGGTGCTTAAATCAAGAGAACACAGAAGCCTTGAAAGTACCATTTCTATTTTTATTTTGTATGTCTTTATTGATAATTTCTGTAAATAGCCCAGAAGATTGGAGAGCTGGAAGCAGCTTTGCGAAAAAAAGATGAAGATATGAAAGCAATGGAAGAAAGATATAAAATGTACCTTGAAAAAGCAAGAAATGTGAGTTGCATATTTCTGAGCATACACATTCCACCCTCATAATCCGTTAAACGGATTAATTTCAGTTGTTGTCTCCCCCCTCCACCTCAAAATTAAAATTAGTAGCTACATGTTACATTTTTAGTCAAATTGCTCAACTGCAGTCAGTTAAGTGTATGAGAGAATGGGGTTTAGGCTAAAGCATGAGATGCATTAATGATTCCTTTGTACCTTTTGATATCTTCTGTTGTGCAATGTAACAGCTTAGTTTTCATTAGAATTTCCCAACTAGTGTTCAGTCTGCTTTCATGTTTCTACTGAGAGCAAATGAGATGCAGAGCTGTTGAGAATCAAACCTGACTTGTAATGCTTTTGTTTTGCCTTGTACAGGTGATAAAAACCTTAGATCCCAAACTAAATCCAGCATCAGCGGAAATTATGTTGCTCAGAAAACAGATAATGGAGAAAGACAAAAAAATTGAAGCGCTAGAGGTAAGAATTTACATATATTTAATAATAACTTCTAATATGTTCTGCTGTCTCTGATATTAGACACTCAAGTTACTGTTTCCTAATGATCTAGTACCCTTCAATGCTGCATTCAGTTAGAAACTGCACAGACCACCAAACTTAGAGATTTTTAGTTTGCCTTAATTAACCTCATATCCAACTATAAGTCTGTCAGAGCAGTTTACTTTTCGACAGTGTTTTTCAATGTACAACTTAATTTTGATTCTTTCTAAACCCTGTGAAAAGCTGTAAATGAATTGCTTCATAACATTAATAGTTTTGCGGTGTTACAGTAACTTGTACAGAGCTGCAGAGTCTGACCTTTTTCAGTACTAATGTAACTTAGTTTGTATGTGGGACTACGTATTTGAGCAGTGACTTGTTTAATTTACTAGACCTTTGCTATCAGTGGTTTCATATACTGGAGCTCTTGGAACTATATAGAAGAGTAAAACCTTTTAATTAAGTCAAATCTGCTTGGCTGAAATCCTGAAAGGATTGTTGGCTATAGTCCAAGGACCAAAAAAAATGTGGGAAACGCTGCATTCAGTTTTAAGCAATATTGGGACTGGTTAGAACCTGAGCAAATACAAAATTCTTCAACACAAGTTAGTTGGCTGAAAAGTCTGACTTCATAAATGCTGTGGCCTCAGATTTCTTCTGTGTGTATGTAGTAGGTAACGTGATAAAAATACTTGGCCACTAAAGGTACATTCTTGTCTTTGACTTTCAGGTAAAAAAATTACTAAATTATTTATAGACTTTCTGATACACCCTAGATTTCCATGTATTTCCACACACACAATCCCTTGATGTATGTTTGTAAGCTGCACTGCAATGTGTGTAGCCTCTTCCTGAAGTAGTCTATGACTTCTCTCATAGTAATTTATGGAAGTATCTTTATTTACACTTCCAAGCCTTCTAGTTATTTTGCATATTTAAGCATTTCTGCTGCCTGTGTTTATTTCAGTCAATGGACTGCAATAAGTTTATGCAGATTATTTTTGTGTTTTAATTGAGATTGACTTCTCTATTGTCTGCTTGCAGGCTGAATACAAACTTGCTAAGTTACGTGATTATGAGGAAAAGCTAATTGTAACTGCATGGTATAACAAGGTGGGTCAAAAGTTCATTTGTTGGTATCTCGGAAATCAGAAAAAACAAATTTTGCTAAATGTGAGCGTCACCCTTTTTTTTTTTTTTTTCTTTTTAGATTCACTGTAAACTGGTGCTTAGGAGAGAAAGCTTAGCTTAGTTTAGCTACTTGTGGCAGAAAAATCAAACTTGCAGAATAGCATGGCCTCATGTTTAAAAACAGGGAACTAAGGAAAGGAATAAAGCCTGAGGATTCCAGTTTAAAGTGAGATCACTCTTCCACTTGCTAATTCTGACTTCAAGGCGGAATGCAAACTTGAGTTCTATGGGGAATTTCCAATTCTATTGATGTAACTTGGGAAATACAAGCATCAACATTTTTGATAGCAGCATTAAAGGGAAAATATTTTAACTATCAACTATTTTGTAAAATTATTTTGTTGTATGTTTTCTGCTTGTCTTCTGTGCTTTGGAACAGGAGACTTAATTTGGCATAGGCCATGACTTTCATGTTAGTAATGTAGTATTTGCTGCCACAAGCTTCCATCTGGATTTAGTAGGCTAAATTTCTGAATGTTCAATAGCATTTGCTGTTGAAATTTTGGGGCTTGAGACAAAAGGAGGCCATGGTTCAGAAGGTTTCCAGGCTCCTGTTTTAGATGTTCAGTGTCTTTAGCACAGCATTTGTGAAATAAAGCTGGAGCCATCTTCTCATCCTGCAGCAGTGTTGCAAAGGTTATTAGAATGTTTGACATTAGATTGCTGTGAAAAGGACTAGGGAAAGTTGTTCATCTTCATATGAAGCAATGTTTAAATAGAGTTTGATAAAGAAAGGCTGGAATGGGAAATCAAAAAGGAAAAGTAAAATTAAATTACTTATTGTAAAGTTGTTCCTTTATTAAGCTACAATTAACAAATTCTGTATGAATGTGAATGAATCTTACTTTCTTCATTCTTGTTTCATACCTTTTATGGCAGCAAGAGGGTATATAAGAAATACAGTAAAAGAAATTCTGTGTGCAAGTAAGCATGAGCTTTGTGTATGAAAGATGGCCAGGCTTTTTTCTTTTATTTTTGCTATAGCGTAAATATTGTTTAATTTCTTTGCAGAGCCTAACTCTTCAGAAGCTAGGTATGGAAGCAAGACTGGTTGGCAGTAGTGGTGCTTGCAGAGATGGTCCTGGACGCTCATTCCTAGCTCAGCAACGTCATGTCACCAATACCAGAAGGAATCTCACTGTTAAAGTACCAGGTGCAACATCTGATTAAACCACAAGGACCATGAGGAAAACTTATATGCTAAAGTGTCCTTAAATGTTTTATAGCTTCCGCATTAACTACTTGATGAAAGAGGAGGTAAGAATGGTAGGCAACTGCGAATTCAACATTGGAACATATCAAGAAGTGATTAAGTTGAGCAGTGGTGTGTCTAAAAGGTAGCACGCAGTTTTCCAAGTAGAAGTAGATTTAATAACTGCAGTTATGCATTTACAAGCACAACTTAAAAGATATATATTTGCCTTCAGAATATATTGTAAATATAAAAATTGGCACTATATATTTAAAACTTTATTTAATGGGTTTGGGCTAGAAAGTTGACTTTTGTAATGGGAAGATGTTATGCAAAAAAGTACTTCAGGAAACTGGCAATATTGGGAATTTTTGCTGGGCTCTTCTAAAAATAAATTTAAAATATTGGTACCATGTTTTTAAAAAATACTTTTTTAGAATACAAAGTACAATTTTAAAAGCAAGAAAATAACTTGCATTTGTAGAAAAAGAAGAAAAAGGTGTAGTACCAGTTGACTTCTTATATAACAGAAGACAGGATTTGTTTTGTCTTCTCAAGTGAGAAGCAGAACTACTCAGTTTATTTAAAAAGGAAAAGGTTACGTTTGTGCGTATATACGTTAAGGAAAACCTGTCTTGAAGATGTTGACTTCACTAAAGCCAAATAGGCTGTCTTTTCCTGTGTAAGAAAAAAAGCTATTATAATAATTCAAAAGTCTGGGCTATGTTTTAAAAGTCTGGCGTATTGGTACATTGCATTTATTTGCAGAAAGGGGACTAGGTAGGAAGGAACCCCATTTATTTCCAGCTATTTATACAACCCTGTGCATAGAAATTAATTTTCCTCTTTTTTAAATGTAATTTCACTTCAGTTGTTCTGAACTAACTGTGCTAGGCAGATGAATGAAAGATAGCTTTGCTAGTTGTTGGCAGCAAAGATTGATTGTTGGCAGGGAGAAAGTGCATAAACTATAATAATTTTGCAGTATCTAGATCAAAGATGATGAAATGGGGATTGATATCTGAAATCTGTGTGTGGGAAGTTGCTATCTTTCACAAAATTTGTGTCGCTTTATTTACCAAATGTCTTATTTTTGTTGGGAACTGTATTTTTAGGAAACTTGTTAATGTCCATTCTTCTTTGCAAACTGTCTAGAACAAATTCATTATACCCATAGTTAAATAAAATAAAATTACAGCAGCCCTTCAAATACAATGAATACACTTAAACTAAGTATTTGAGGGTGCTGTACCAGTCCGTGATCTAATATAAAACTCAGTCATATGCATGAATGAAAGCATGTCTGTCTTTAGTATTAAGGCCATCTTTGATTTAAGAGCAGGGTTAAATTTGTAGTATTTAAGTTTTGAGTAGTATTCCATTTTGCATGCCCCTCAGTATGGCTTGTTTTTTGATTTCATCCTTCCCCAGCAGCTTAAATTCTTTATTGGGCTCTGCATGCAATGCTAGAGAAAAGGGAAGTATTAATTTTTAATACTTTGTTACTATTGCTTCTTAGTTGTGGTGATAGTTTTCAAGTGCTAAACATTTAGGCATTCAACAGAGATTTCCTCTTTCAAAACTTCTGCCTACACAAGGCATTGGTTAAAAGCCAGTCTCATGCTAAATGTGGTATGAGTAGAGAATATGCCAGACAAATTGCCATTGGACAGTTTTGTCTGTCAGGTTGTGTTCTTCAGGACTCTATGCTTCTTTGGACTACCTCTTGGGTTTTGAGGTCTTTTATTGCTGCAGTGATATTATTGGGGTTTGTATTTTTAAGATACAATTGCTTGTTTAACTTGCTAGTGGTGTGGGAGATGGTGATGAGCAGTGGAACAGGAGACTTAAGTCTTAGCAAGATGCTTACATTTCTAAAGCCTGGTACTTTGGTGTGTTCTGGTGAAATGTGAAACTGTCACTGATGGTGTTGAGTGGGTCTCAACCCTCGTTCTTTACAGCATGGAAACTTTCATGGACGTCTTTCAAATACTCGTCTAGTTAGTAGGCTTGATGCATTTGTCGTACTTCTCACAGTAGTAGAGCTGTGTCAGTAGTCATATCAGGTGCTGAATAGTGAAAAGCTTGGAGCAAATGTCTTTGATGTACACTTCTCAAAACTGCAGACCCTGGGACCAAAAATGACCAAGAACCTTCCTATCATTTAATTAGAAGTTTGTCTTCAGACTAGCGATGGAAGAATTTAAATATGGAACTGGAGACAGGGATCAGCCTTTTTCAGGGCAAGGTTGTCCCCAGTAGTCTTGCTGGGGCTGCCAAAAATGAATTGGCTTTTCAGGTATTAGATGAAATGTTGTTTGTTTGTGACTTTTCCAAACTGAACTGTGAATCTAACTTAAGCGTTTCTTTGGGATTGAGAACCTGTTTGAAAGACTGTTTTATAACTGGTTAAACTTGGGTTACATCCTATGAATAAGGAAATGATCTGTAGAAATAAATACTTGATCATAAGCCATGGTGTTGTATTCACTTCAGCTCATCTGGCTGTGCAGAAAGGATTGTTAGAATAAGTATCATTTGAATGTTAACTTCATTCATGTCGAACAAAAAATCTACTAATAGCGTTGCTGTGTAACAGCTAAGTTGTATGCAACGCGTAGCAGCAGAACGATGTCAATACAATGTTCTTTGATGCAGTGTGCACCACTGCTGAGGCAGGATGAAGAAAGAGGTTACTTATCCCTGCTGCAAGATGAATTCGTATCATGCCCAGGCAGCACAGTTAGGAACAGATTCAAATTATGAGATGAAATCATGGAATATTGCTGAATTTAATCAGCATTATTAGTAACTTTAGCCAGTTACCAGTAAAACGGGTAATATAGATCCAAAGAAACAAAAATATGTTCTGATTAACATATCATTTGTTAATATTCTTTTTATATAAGATTAAGAATAACCAGTATGGTAGAGAAGTATTTTGTAGCAATAATACAAATTTTGGACTAGCAGGTTCTTTTACTCAAGGTGGATCAGGCAGCAGTTTTGAGAAGATTCTTTTGCAACAACTGTATTATAGAGGATTAAGAAACGTTCACTGACAATGAAATTTCACCTAACTGATTTTTTTTTGTTCATTAAATATACATATATATATATGGGTATTCTATTTTCTACAATACACACTTACTTGGAAATAAGTAATATAAGCAATACTGATGTTTTATTTAGGTAGCCATAAATAGTTTAGGAATTAAAAATGAAAACCATTGTTTAAGAGTTGGTAATGTCTAGTAAAGTAGTTTTCTTAACTTTTTTGCTTTTTTCCCATACTCCCACTAGTCAAGCTAGTGTTAAGGTTTTCAGTGTATCGGTGTCTACATCTTCTGTTTAAAACAAATGTACACACTGTGTTGCATAGAACTTGAAAAATTGCACTACTTTTTAAACTTTTGGTTTTATTTCTCTTTGGAAAGAATTATTTTATATTCACATAAAGATTTTTAAAATTTATTCTTTGGTGTCTTTATTCCAAGCAATGCATTTAATGGTCCCTAGCTGATGTAAGCATCCGTACTCCTGGGCATGAACTGGGTCTGCATGTTGATACAATTACAGAATCTAAAATGTCATGTTACTCAAATATGTAACATGTATGTATAATGTGTGTATGCATGTTGCAACAACAGCAAATCAGAGTTGTGCCACCTTCCCCTCCTCTTTCCGTTTCTTTCCTGCTTACAGTTCTGCTCCCACCCAAAGCTGGTTACCTATACTTGGTCTGCTGACAGTCATCTGAGAGCTGGGCAAGGGACCTTGTGAAGTGGAAAGACTAAAACCCATGACAAATTAGCTGTTGAGTAACTTCAGTAATTGCTTAGTGCTACTGAAATAAGTTAGGATCTCTGCCTACTCCGCTCAGCCTCACCTAAGAGGACACAGAGGATAGGTACGCACTCCTAAATCACCATGCTTGTTATTTGGAAAACTGACTGCCCTCTTCAGTCTGCTTTGCAGCTTGTTTATGTGCTCAGTTCTCAGTCTCATTGACAGCTTTCTTGTTCCCCAAGTGCTAACCTCAACCTTCAAACAGAAGTGAGGTTGGGAATGTGAGCAGGCAGCTGTTCAGCCCTCCAGAGTGAAGATCAGCAGGGAGAAGGTGTCACAAGTTTCCTGCAGAGGCCCCATTTCAGACCTGTCTTTACCACAGAGTTTGGTGTTCTGTTTCTCTGAACCGTAATCCTGGGCCTGGCTGTCCTGACATGGGTAAGTAACGATTTTTATCGCCTTGGGTTGCTATTCTTACGAGGATGGGGAGCTGTGTGGTACTCTGATGCAGAAGGGCCTTTGCACTGGCAGAAGTGTCCCAGTGACCAAGAAGTGAATAGCCAGATACAGAAGAACCATTTTTCCTTCTTTCTGAGGCTGAACTTAAAAGCATTTTCAGACACTGAAGAACAAAAACTGCAGGTGTGTGTTTGAGGGGGAACGGAAGAGGCTCTCAGATGTGCAGGAAGCCTGAGCCAAGCTGCAGGTTGTTTTCAGCCCGTATGTGAGCTGTCACAGGACACACACCGGCAGCCACCGCTGCCTTCCCGAGAGCAGAAGGAGCAAGTGAGGGGTGGTGTGTGCAGGGGGGGCTCCATTTCCAAGTGCTTGGTCACAAGAAGTTATGTTCAAATGCAAACGGCCTGTGTGGAGCCTGGGTCTGTGACCCCTTTTGCTTACGGTTTTTCTGGTAGCTTCTTAAGAGCTGAGCAGTGCAGCAGAAGGTTTGTACGTTTAGACGAGGGCTGTCCCTGGAAGAGAGGTGTAAGAGTACAGTGCATGAGATGGTTTTGGTGGAGGGGATAAAGTATCCAAGGAACCCTTGGGCAAAATGTGCTCTACTCGGAGTGCAACTAACCCAGTGGAGACCTAGGGACGAAGCTCTTGGATATAGCAGCAGGCTGGGAAAGGAAATGGGACTCTGAGCCAAGGAGTAGAAAAAAAGAAGTCAGATGACACCTGCAAACTG